ACCACGGGTTCCAGTCGGCTATCAATGCCCGCGTTATCGAGAACATTTGATCTACTCTGAGTGGAGGTTGCGAGGATTGCGTGGTCGGCATGTGCTCGACACTTGACTGTCGTTTTTGGCGTGTATTTGTATTGGACGAAGTTCGCACGACGACAACGCGCTTGCGTATAAGCGCGGTAATGAGAAATCGACGTGGTAAAGGATACCCCCCTGGAACGAACTGGAAGGACTCTGGTTGGAATGGCTCTTGTTTGGGGATACCACGGCTTTTTGTGTTTTAGTTACATATTGATACCATGCTCATTCGTTGCTTTTCAATCAAGTCTAATGCATCAGTTCGTGGCCTACTACATCTGCTGTAGGATTGCACATGTTAGTATGATACTCCAGTTCAACGGAAACAAGCCCTGCCAGTCCAGAGACAAGGTCCCTCTGACGTTTAGGATGACGGCGCATACATGTCGGGGTCGGGGACTTCGATGCTTCGGCATCGATCAATTGTGAGTCTTTGCGTACAGCAGGCTGCGAGCTGAGGCTGGGCGCGTTTCTGCATTGCGCCAGATACCTCACCGTCGACTCCACGCCCTGCCGGTGCTCATTCCGTTGCTCAAATGATGTTCCGTTTCTAGGCTGCTCAATCTTTGCGAGGACGACGAGTTCCACCTGTAGAAACTCCTGTGCCTACTAATGCGGTTCCACCATTCGCCGCGTAAGTTCACAAGAGAGACACAAGTCGAACTCTTGACGCTGAGGCTAGATAGAGGTGCCATGCTACAAACGCCTGTCCGCCACTCCATGTGCATTTGACATCTTGTAGGACAAGGACAGCCATAGTTTGAGATGACCAGCTCAAACGTTTGTCGGCGTGTAAGCGACTGAGCTTTACAGGCTGCGTGGCCCCTCCGATCAACAAGCTGGTGGTCACATTTCAGACCCCCAACAATGCATGTCTTGTACTGAGTCTCTTCGAACGGACATAATTGAAGATTGGGAACTTGCACGATCCCTAAGCGACTTAAGACTGGCTTGGCCACAGGTGAACCACCAGCATGGAGTCAAACTCCAGCTTAGACGGACGCACTGTCACGTACGAGACGCATGTCGACAGTTTGTTGTTCACACCATAGAAAGAGCCAGCAAACCTGCATTCTTAGCTCGCAGCCCAGATCCTCTTACACTTTGTAACTGTTCCACCCATTGCAACTATCTTGCAACCGATCCTAAAAATCTATCCAAGGGTATCTTTCTTGATCATCAACAGAAAATGAAGTTCAACATCGACCTTTCCATTAGCTGCCAAAGACCGACTAAGCTGACTAAGGTACGGAGCCATTTCGACAGGGGTGGCCTGAATCCGAGCTCTGACCATGACGAAGGCGGTTTCAGTGGTTTCGGGGTCGGCCCCACTGCGGCTTGGCACACTAGGCCAACACTCAACGGTGACCGTCGCGAACAAAGTGTGAGCTGTCCTTCCATTCACACTCCTCAACCGCATCGTCTAAAGTAGAACAATTCAAAATGGACGAAAGAAACAGCCTGTTCTCCTCGAGAGGGCAGCAGCGCGCCCCTGGTCTTCCTGGACGTCAGGTACAGCGCAATCCCGGCGGCCCGCTACCTGACGGAGGTGCCTACGGTAGCTCTCGCCCACAGCCGTCCCCGGCCATGCCTCCCCGCCCCGGCTACGACAGTCCGGGCGGATATGGAAACTACGGGGCGCCGTCAGCTCCGCCGCCGCACCAGAGGACTCCCAGCGGCTATGCCGAGAAACCGCCTCCGAGCCCGGCGCGCGGCCGTCCAGTGCCTCTCCGCCTCATGAAGATCCAAGACAAGACCCTGCAGGACAGGTACATCTTTGGCAATGTGTAAGTTATCCTATGCTTGGTGGTCGATGACGTCGAACAAGAGCTGACGTTACGATGCAGTTGCGCCGTGTCGCCAAACGACTTCCCGCCCAGCCGCGATGGCACCGATATCTACATTCGACTTACGGGGAGCATGATGAGAGGAGACTACGTGGTGACGGCTAGGCCGACTCAGGGATTCCCAGATAACTGCATAAGCATGTCCGACCCCCAGCGGACATGGTGCGGGATCGGTATGCTGGACGAGGTCATGGGAGAGGTCTTCGATCCCTTCCGCACGGGCAGCCCGCCGTACGTCGGTTCCATGGACGTCGAGATCGGATTCGCCTCGACAAAGAAGATCTCGGACACTCAGTATGATCAGGACAAGCTGGCGGAAATATTTGTCGGAAACTTCCAGAACCAGATATTCTCCCCTGGCCAGAGGATCCTCATGGACGTCAGCAACGTCCCTCTACTCATCAAGGTCAAGACCATAACCTTGGTTGACCTTACGAAGCCGGGAGACGCGCCGACGCGCAGCGATGGAGGAGCAAGGGGTATTCTCACAAACCAGACCGGTATCAACTTCTACAAGGACGCTTCGTCTCCGATAAAGCTCAAGGGCTCTACGAAGCGGGCGGCCGCGAATGCTATTATCGCCCCTGACTTCAAGTTCGAGGACATGGGCATTGGTGGTCTCGATAGCGAGTTCAGCACCATCTTCCGGAGAGCTTTCGCCTCGCGCATCTTCCCACCCGGCCTCATCGAGAAGCTCGGCATCATGCACGTCAAGGGCATGCTGCTCTACGGTCCCCCAGGGACAGGAAAGACGCTGATTGCTCGCCAAATCGGAAAGATGCTGAATGCCCGGGAGCCCAAGATCATTAACGGTCCCGAGGTGCTGAATAAGTTTGTCGGCCAGTCTGAGGAGAATATCCGAAAGCTGTTCGCCGATGCGGAGAAGGAGTACAAGGAGAAAGGCGACGAGAGTGGACTTCACATTATCATCTTCGACGAACTGGATGCTGTCTGCAAACAGAGAGGTTCCGGCGCTGGCGGCGGTACGGGTGTTGGAGACAGCGTGGTCAACCAGTTGCTGTCAAAGCTTGACGGCGTGGACCAGCTCAACAACATTCTTCTGATAGGAATGACGAACCGGAAGGATATGATCGACGATGCCCTGCTACGGCCGGGTCGTCTGGAGGTGCAGATTGAGATCAGTCTCCCCGACGAGTTCGGCAGACAGCAGATTCTCAAGATCCACACCGCCAAGATGAAGGAGAACAAGGTCATGCAAGAGGACGTCGACACTGCAGAGCTGGCTGCCATGACAAAGAACTTCTCCGGCGCCGAGATAGCCGGTCTCGTCAAGTCGGCAACGTCGTTTGCCTTCAACCGCCACATCAAGGTCGGCACCATGGCGGGCGTCAGCGAGGACGTGACCAACATGAAGGTCAACCGCGAGGATTTCTTCAACGCCCTGGCCGAAGTCAAGCCCGCCTTCGGTGTGTCGGACGAGGAGCTGGACGAGGCCATCGTGTACGGAATCGTGCACTTCAGCCCGCTCATACAAACGATCATCAGCAACGGCATGACGTACGTCGAAAATGTCAGGCAGGCAGAGCGTCTCAAGCGCATGTCGGTTCTTTTCCACGGGCCTCCCGGATCCGGAAAGACGGCGCTGGCGGCCCACATCGCCATGAAGTCCGAGTTTCCCTTCATCAAGCTGGTCACGCCTCAGGCTCTAGTTGGGTTCCGCGACGAGGTCGGCAAGAAGGATTACCTGCACAAGGTCTTTACCGATGCGTACAAGTCGCCCCTAAGCATCTTGATTCTGGACAATATCGAGCGGTTGATTGAGTGGAATCCGGTCGGACCGCGGTTGTCCAACACAATCCTACAGGCGCTGCTTACCTTGCTACAAGCTCCGCCGCCAAAGGTATGTGCTCCCACCAAACAATCCTCCACTGTGTCTTGTCCATTTACTTACAAGCTCCACAGGGCCACCGCCTCCTAATCCTAGCAACGACCTCGCAGCGCGGCGTCATGGAGCAGCTGGACATGACGTCGGCCTTCGACCGCGAGATCCCCGTCCCCGCGGTGCGCGACCTGCACGAGCTGTCGAGCGTGCTGAAGGAGGCCAACGCGTTCGACTCGCCGGCCGACGTCAACGAGGCGCTCAACGCGATCCAGGAGTACAGCAACTCGCAGCAGGTCGGCGTGGGCATCAAGACGGTGCTCACCATCGCCGAGTCGGCCAGGCTCGCCGGCTCCGAGCCGGGCCAGTGGTTCGCCGAGCAGCTGGGCGAGCAGATACAGAGGAATAATCCTAGGATGTAGTTTGTTGGGTGGTGGCTATCTTTTTTGCAATTATAGACACGGGGAGGATGACATGGTGTTGGGTGTCTGAATGACCTGGGGGTTGTTCGAGTAGGATAGATCTTGCTAGCTTCAAGGGTGCGTTGGAAATTGATTTACGTTGCTTTTGCTTCGTTCATCGTACATGTCGTACATCTTGGTATACCGCCTTATTACTCAGGACATGACTGGTGAATGGCACTTTATGCTTCAAAAACTCAGCTTACTGTTCACATCTCCTGGATCCTATGTTATAATTCTCTCAGACACGCTCAAGTCCACCGGGCTTCTTAACCACAAGACATAACCTGCTATGCGATGAGGGCGTTATTCAGTGTCTTCATCCCGCAGCACAGCCCCTCAGAACCACATGACGGAGACGAAGAAGGACTCGCTAGCCATATGCATCTTCGCTAAAGCCTCACAGCGGCACGACACCAACAGCGTCAAGTCGACGCTATCACAGTCCAGTTCTCGGCCGAAAAATGCGAGAGCGTTCGTCCCAGCCAGTCGAAGCTTCCAAGACAGCAGCCACTAGCGCGGCACGGGAACCCGCGGCTTCGATCCGACCAGCAGGCAACGCTAGTACCCATTACCCACCGAGTCGGGTCGGCCGTCCATTCGCCAGAGCGTTCCAAGTTTCCGGCCCTGGTTTGAGAGGGAACCACCGTTGAAATGAAAATCGATATCCCGTTCGATTTGCTTAGCTAGTAAAACGGCAACACGGGATTTCAGCACAACATCACACAGTGAAGGGTGCACAAGAGCAAAAAGGATGCGCGATCTTAGTCGCTCATATGCCCGCTACCAGAATTGAACTGGCGACCTCATCATTCCCGATGTTGGGGGAAGTACTAGTGATGCGCTCTACCACTGAGCTAAGCGGGCCACGATGGAGATGGAAAGCGGCTGCTTCCATGGTGTCGGCGGTGGTGGGGATGGCATATCAAGGGAGTGGGTGACATGGCAAAGTACTGACTCGCCGTTGGTCTCGAGCTCGGTTGATGTGATTGTGGTCCGGTATCTTACACCCCACGGAAGTGAAGCGCCAGTTCGCAGCGAACTCAACTGCAACTGCAACTGCCAGGGCCAGGCAGCAGGGGCAGACTTTCTGACCTCGCCGCGAGAACGCATGAAGCTGGCCAATTTTCGGGAAACAAGCAAACCTCGAGAGACCCAAAGCCATTGGTGGAAGGATGCATGTGAGTGGGGGTAAGACGTCGACAACAGGGGCTGTCTTGAAGCTAAGCCAGCGATGGGTCGTTCGTACACTGCACAATTCCCAGCAATCTGGCGAGTGAGGGAAACAAGGTTTAGCTTCGTCTCAGGAAAGCCGGGCGCCGAGAGAATGCGAGATGTGATGGCGAGGGCCGGGAAGAGGTCGGACGATTCCGAAGGTACCAGGTGGGCGAAGCTGGGATTCCCGCATGGCAGAAACGGAGGGAGGGCTGCTGGCGGTTTGGCATGACAGCTATGCCTCTCGTCCTTCTGTGGGCATTAAGTGCCTCAGGATGGGAGTTAATAAGCAGTTACTGCTTGAATGTAGGATTGGTGATCGTCGATGCCATGACAGCCGAGTGCTATGCTAAATGCCTGACAGTCACAGAAATAATAGCCCGCCGTCCCTGCCATAGCAGTGAGTGCTAAGAATGCAAAACAGATCAGCGTTGCTTCTTGCGAGATAGCAGCGTGTGAACGACTGGGGAGAAGGTCATCATGTGATTTTGAATGCCTCCGGAAAGAACGACGGCAGTTGCTCGCACAAGCCAATGTCTCCAGCTGCTTGGGTGCCCGTCGTAACGTCGTTTGCCCTGTAATTCTGAGAGCGGTGTGAGCATGAGTTACTTGGCGGCCGCTATAGCCATTATGAACATCGTACCATTCACACGGACTGCAGCGTCGCACTCCATCCGCGTGACCATGTTGAACCGTTGCATCAGTTCGGTTAGGATATACCACAGTACGCGACATTGAGCTAACTTGAGCGTTTGGACATGGTGCCCAACGTTGAACGTTCAAATGGCGTTTGTCGTGGAGGTATGTACCTTGCTCCCGTCCTGTCATTTAAAGCGCCACCTAAGGCACGCGCGCTGGGATGCAAGGCGACCAACGAGACGTGACCGGGTTCTGACCCAGCAGGCGCAATTTCCGAGTGCCTTGTCTACATTCGTTCCCACAAAGCGATATTGAAGGGTTCGCGGACGGCTCGCGCGACTCGATGGCGGGGTTTCCAAAGGTCCCCGAAAAGACGTGCCGCATCGTCATGTCCAGTGCTCAATCAACCGCGCCTCGGTCGAGCCGTCGGGTGGTCAAGAGTGAGTAGATTTCCAGGAAATCTCGCGGAAATCTCGCGAGATTGGGGTGCCACCAAGATGAGGAAATGGGCAATGATTGACCATGATCTGCCACTATGGCTTCACTGGGCACCAGTCTGGACCTCCAGGACCTCCACGTCGGGCACCACTCGACCTCGAGCACGTGGAGTCAAGGCCATCGGATCGCCAGCTAACTGTGCTAGTCGAGGTCCGTGAAAGTGAGCCTTGACCGATGATGTCGAAGCTGCGCCTGTTCGAAGCGATCAGCATTATGAACTGGTGGACGATGGATATCACAGTCATGTATGCACGAATACGCGGTGTGCAGCAGCACTGCGTCTGATCACACTGGCAAGCAGGGCCTGGTAGAGATTGAAGCGGGCTGATTGGACAATGGTTGTGTGCAGAAGCAACCGCAACACTGCAAGGCAAGCGAGTAAGCGAGTCTCGATGCCGTTCGTCACTGCTGTGCATCATTGCAGTGCCGCAACAAGCGCTGCTCGGCTTAGCTTGTGACAGCATCTGGAGATTGGATCGCGAGATGTGATCCCACGCAAAGCGGACTCGGTTCTCAATCTAGCACCAAGAAATGAAATGGTTGTTATGTCCTTGAAGTTCAACCAGCAGCTGAAGATTGAAGATGGTTGGGAAACGGGTGGCTTAGGGCGGGGCGGGAGACGGACGGGAAGAAGAACAAGGGTCCCAGTCACCACTCATCAGCTTCACAGCATCAGCAGTTCAGCACGCTCAATGTCGAATTGAGAACCAGCAATTGCCATGTCTTGGCGTATTTTAAGATAAGGTAAGGCAAGGTACAGTAACTGGCCTTACAGACAACTTCAAGTGAGTGCGAGACTTCCACTGACTTGAAGACTCTTATGTACCAGACTCTGTGGCGGGAAGGAAGTACCGAGTGGAAACGGGCCGCAGAAAGATGTCTCAGAAGGAGCAACCCGTTGGATCTTCGCCGTTGACATCATTGTCGCTCAAGCCAACCTGAGCCTATCTCTGCGCGTGTGAAGAGCCAAGTAAAGCGGTTGTAACTTCCAAAGGTATTTCACTTCGCAGAACGGTAGAAGAGGTTCTGGACCGGGAGTCTGGACATCAACTCGAATTGAGTCGTGGACTGCACGAAAAGGAAAACGTGAATTGATTGCTTTGCCTGAGGTGCCAATCCGGTACGTTCCGCCCCTCATTTCTTCATTTGGACACCCATGACAGTCATGACACCCCTGCCAGCCGAGCCAGCCACAGCAGATTGGCTCGTCGCTCCTTGCTTTGCCAGGCTTGCCTCGAGCTTGTCACTCGCCGACCAGGGCTTCCCGGTCTCCTGGCCCGGTAACTGACCTGACCTCCATCTCGCCAGATCCTGCCGGGTCCCATATCGTCCAAATCACCCACGGGCCACCAGTTACCTGCTCTGCAAGTCCTCTTTCCCTCTGTGCATTCTCATTGTGTGACTCCATGCCGGATCACTGTCTAGTCGTCGTCTAGAACCGAACATTCGGTCTCCCTTCGCTGCGTCGTGGTGTGTTTCCACACGTCAAGCTTTATGGCGTCGCATAAGACTGGTACGTGCCATTTTCACTGTTGGTTTGCAGCTAACCTCGCGGTCGAGACTCTGCGCTGCATCTCCTGACCTCGCTCAATGCCTTTGGACTGTCGCACGTTGGCAAGAGCAAACACGTCCACGGCGCAAACATTCTGCAGTCCAGCATGCCTTCCACCTTGTCACCTGTCGCGCTGTAGCATTGACTGCACAAACCTCCTTGCAGAACGCCGATCTAACTCCAATGTCTTCCTTACAGCAGCAGTCCCATTGAGTTGCAGCAGAAGTACGTGCTTCGCTCAATCCTGAGCGAGGTCGACGCCATGGAGATGGAGGCCGACCCCCTCCATGCAACTCCACCAACAGGTCTTCCTCCGAGTCGCGTGCGGCAACAACAACAGCCGCCACAGCGCGAATATCCCGGCCGCAGCCCGACTCTTCGTCAGGGAAGGACGCCCAAGGACCAGAAATTGAGGCGCACGACGCCGAGGCCGGTTGGAGACTCTGAGAGAGCGCGAGACGCCAAACGCGAAGCGGCACCACCCTCTAGAAGCGCGACGGTCAAACTGTATTCGCCCACAGTCACGCAGCCTAAATCGCTATTGCCCCTTGCAGAGCGAAGTTCCCAGGAAGACAAGCCTCCCTACCGGAAATCCACGAATGCCGGCCACCATGATGCGACGTTGGATATAACTCCTGATGGGGGGTCGGCTGGCCGCGAAGGTCGCCAGTTCGCCGTGTGGAACGTGGGAAATAACGGACGTATCTATCTACGGTATGTTGTTGGTCGCAAGATCAGGATTACAAGCTCGAAGAGCTCAGTTTGGCTGATGTTACGTAGGCCAACCGTTCGACCTCCACAACAGCGGTACCCCCAACCACAATTCGTGTTTCCTATGACCCCGCCAGGCACTGCAGGCTTGGGGTCTTTGACAAAGGGGACGGAAAGGGAGGAGGACACCTCATTCCTCTTCCCGGAAAGCCAACTAACTTCAGCCCACCTCTCATCTACACCGACTACGACATATCTTTCGGAGAGGGACGCGTTGCCAAGGCTGAGGCATAGGCGTGCTATGTCGGACTCGACGTTACCCGACACCAGCATCGCTCGAGAATCTGACGTCGGAGGGTTCAAGATTGTTATCACGCAACCAGGCGGGGAGCAACGGCCCAGAACTGTGGAAGACATGGACCCGACTCGGTCACCTTTGCTTGAAATCTCGATACCGTCCTGGAAACTCGGCACTCCTCGATTCAGCGTCAGGGGGACTCCATTCCTACGAGGCTCATCGTATGCACCAACCGAGGACGTTCGCTCAAGCAATGCATCGGTTCTCATTCGTACGCCGAGTGAACTCACACCAGGGCTGTCTACGGCTAAACCTAGTCCACTGCTCCTACCACATAGGCATCTGGATACCGTTCACCTACAGACTCCCCGTTCGCAGGCCACACCTCGTCTTACACCTCCCTTCCGATCAACATACTTGTCCACGAATCTGAGGATAGAACCGGGCATGTTCGATGCTCTCACATTCAAACCCGCATGTGACGATCGATCCATTGTTCGATACTCGGCATCTACTGGCGCTGTGACAGCTGCAACGCCGCCTCGGCTTGTCGCCGAAATCACGTCGCCGAGCTTCTTGGACTATGATCTGTTATCTGACTTCTTCCTAACATTTCGCGCATTCCTTGATCCGTCGGACCTTCTTCGTATGCTCGTAGCACGTCTAAGATGGGCACTTTCTCAAGTTGACCGAGAGATTGGGACGGTTGTGCGCGTGCGGACCTTCGTGGCAGTCCGGCATTGGATCCTGAACTACTTCATGGATGACTTTGTTATCGATCACAGCTTACGAGTCGCTTTCTGCAACCTTCTGAACGATTTCATGGATGAGCTGTCACAGGATCCAGATCGCAATAAGGCGTGGTTGAAAATCCTGGCAGAACTCAAGAGGTGTTGGCGGCGGGTATGCGCTCAGTATTGGGATGGCCCAGAATTTGATGCGAGTATTGGCCCG